AAAAAAAATAAAACAAAAATTAAGAAAAGAAATTAAAAAGATTCCAGAACCATCAACCACAGGTAGGCACCACCCACAATGGCTGGGCCCTCGTCCACCAATTACTCATTAAGAAAATGTCTTACAGGCTTGCCTATTGCCCAGTCCTCCCAAGTTGCTTTTGGTCATGGTGTTTCATCATAGCAATAATGACTCTAACTAAGACACCATCTTATTCCAAAGATGATTGAAGTGGTTTAAGAAATACACAAAACTTAATTAGAACAATTATCATTAATTACAATAGTGACTATAAGAAGTCGGGCCCAGCGGGAAGAAGCAGAGAAATTGTAAAGAGTCAGTGTCAGGATGCAGAGGACCTGGTGGCCCCAGGGAGCTGTCAGAGGGGTGCCCCTGGGGAAAGCCTAGCTTTCTCCACCTCTAGTACGGGAATAATGGGCTTCAGTTTTGCGTGTGGATTTTGCAGCAATCCACTTACTCCTGTATTCATGGTCACCGTTGCTGGAATCTGAACTCTCAGATGGGCCACCTGCTGCCACTTTGGCACTGCATCTTTGTATTGAGGGGGCCGAAGGGAGCCATGGCAGGTGGCATACCCCATCCAACTTCTTCCATTCACATCATATTAGAGAAGGCCCTTCCAGTTCTCGGAGTAAGGGAGAGCGTGTGAAAATGGAGGAAGGCCCTGCTTCGCTGGCTTACCTCTTCATATAAACACATGTCACAAAGGGCCGTGAAGTAGGAGGCTGTGGTTAATAGCAAATACCTAAACAGGAACTTGAATTCCACTCAAAGCAGAGCCAGAATGTGTGTGGATTTGCCTGATCCTAAAAGAGAAAGTTGTGGAAACCTTTGTTCCTGACCAAGAGAGATTTAGATCCTTTGGAAGAGGAATTTCAAGGTCCTTAGCTGGGCATGGAACTTGAAGGCCATCTTAGCATCCCCACGGATGAGTTAAGATGAGCTGTTGTAGTTTTGCAAGCACTGGTTCAAGTGGCTCTGAATTTGGGGTTAATTCCTGGCTAATAACGCGGATTCCCTCTGCTTCCTAAAGCCTAATTACAATCCTGCATGAGGTATGACATTTGGCATTTGGCTATTAGGACAAGTGGCTAATGTTAATCGCGCTTGCTGATTGCCACTAGAGCCAGGGTACAAAGGAGCTGGCAGCCAGTAACAGTAGCCGGGGGTGACACTGATAATTATATAGAAGAAAACTATTCATTAATTTTTGAATGCTGATTTTTCCCCCCAAACTATTTCAAATAATTAACTAAAAACATGACAGCTTGGCTTAGTTTCCCCAACACGGGGGGAAAAAGCATACTTTAAAACTTCACAGTATTGTGATCACTGTAAAGATATAGCAAACGCCTTTCCTTCATCCGAATCTATAAGCAGTAAGTTGTGATTAAACATGTATAAAGTTAGAAAAAGTGTTGCTTTTCGTGCATGCTGGCGAACTACAGCCCCGCAACTCAGACGACGCTGACCCCTGGTGTCAGCAGCAGCGAAGGGCGTCAACATGATTGCACATGAGCTGATTAGAAATGCAAAGTCCCACGTGTGGGCGTGAACGCTCACTCTCTTAGCCTTCTGTGGATTATCCTAATTACAGATGCTCTCGGATCTCCCTGCTCTACCTCCCAGGAGTTCCTGAGCTTGCTTGCTCTTTTGGATCACCTGGATTTTCTTAGTTACTTGTTCCCTCTACTTCCCTCTCCAAAAAGGAAAAAAAAAAAAAAAAAAGAAAAAAAAAGGGACTGCCTTACTCACCTGCACCCTGACCTTCAGAGAGCAACTCCACGCTCAGGGTGCTTAATGCCTGGCTGTCAGGCATTAAGGTTTTAGGTAGGCACACTTGCTAAGAGCAGGAATGTGTGTGATCCCACCTATGTCACCTGCGGACTGACAAGAGTGACTTTCTTCTCTGACACACTCTGAATGAGGACTTTGGTGAGCATTCCTGAGCTTTGGGAAGACTCTTAGCATTCTGGCCAGCTAGCGAAAGCTCCCGGCAAGCTGTCCATTTCTATTCTGGTACACTTCCTGTTGAACTCCCAAGAGCACCGCTGGCTTTTAGGTGGGTGCTTAGTATTGACTGTCCTCTTTCAGGCCACCTTGATTTGGTTTTTGCCCTGCCTGATGGTGTCTCAAGCCCCGATCTACTCTATGTCGTCCCAGCTTCAAGCCTGCATCTCTACTGCCTCTTCTTGTACTATTTCTGCTACAGTCTCAAAGACCCATCACCTCCGATCTCACGGGCAATCATTTTCCAGGGACCACAGTACTCATGCCTCTTGTTAGATGGTGGAAATCCGAAGCCAAGTTTTCACAAGTTGACTAGAAGTTTTCATAAACAATTTACAAAACGCAATGCTCAGAACAGCCCTTTGGACTCTGTGTTTGCTCTCTCCTCTCTATGCAAACGTCCCGAGGTGTCACAGACACCATGACTTTATCTTCTGCTCAGCACTGTTTTATCTCAGCATTGTGTATTTAGCATTACATTTATAACCTACTTCAGTGTTTCTGATCTTAAAACATATTTATGAAATATAGTTCACTGAAATGCATTTACCAGAATGTTGGCTCATATCTAATCTGCTCACAAATATTTTATGTGATCGCACCAAAATTTTTCTTACTTCCTTATTTATTTTTACTCTCTTTTTCCTATTAGTATTATCCATATCTTTCTTTCTATAATACATATATGTAGCATATATCCAATAAGTATACAGGTCAATGGGTGTTTAGAAGTAAGCACATATAGCTACCATGACAATCTTGAGGCTAAATATAACCAGTCTCTAGGGCTCTCCCTTGTGTACTGCCAATCATGACTGCACCGCCTTCAAAGGTGTGACAAAAACTTTGTACTTGTCACCATAGAATCTAAAGGAGAGGTCTTTGTCTTTGTTACTTTTTCTACAGCCGGGACAAAACACCATGGCCAAGGCAACTTAGAGAAAGAAGGGTTCATTTGGGCTTAAGGTGCCAGAGACATCATCATGGTAGGGGGGCATGATGGCAGGTTGGTGTGGAAGCAAAGCTGCAGCTGAGAGCTCACATCTTAAAGCAGGAGAAAGAGAATAAACTGAGAGCAAAGCCCTAAGCTCTCAAAGCCCCCACCCTTTCAGTGGCATACTTCCTATAGCAAGGCCGTATCTTCTAAGCCTTCTTAAATAGTGCCACCAACTGCGGACCAAGTATCCAAGTACATGAACCTGTGGAGATAGTCTCACGTAGGCCACCACAGTCTTCATGGGTTTAGGGTTGAAAGCAATGTCTTAAGTAGAACACAAAAATCACTACCCATAAGAAGAGTGATAAG